TGGCTGCCGGCCGCCATCTTGGCTGGCAGTTAATTTGCATATTGCCCTGATTAGCCAATGGGAAGGGTAGCGGAGGTACGGCTAATTACCATGTTTCTCTTTTATTAGATAGGATGAATCCATCAATGCATGTCATTTATCTCTATTTATTTAGTTTTTCTCTTATAGGTTATATAGTTTCTCCAAAATAGCTTTGCACAGCTTTCATTTGATTTATCTGTAGGCACTTTATTTTGTTGTTGTTGCATTTGTAAATTGATATTTTTGTTAATTATATTTTTTATCTGAAGCTGGTATATAGAAGTTCTATTTAATTTTTATATTAAAATCCAGCCACTATACATAGACAATAATCTGTGAACAATGGCAGTTTTTTCTTAATTTCTATTCTTAATATATTTTACTTATTTATATTAATTTCTTCATTGGCTGAGACCTCAATCTAGTGTTGAGTAGAAGTAGTCATAATTGGTATGGTTATCTTGTTTCTAGTTTTAAAGAAATAGTTCTAGACTGGAAACTATAAAAATCCTAGAAGAAAACATAGGCAGTAAAATCTCAGACATTTCTTGTAGTAATGTTTTATATATCTATCTATCTATATCTATATCTATCTCTATCTATCTATCTATCTATCTATCTATCTATCTCTCCTCAGGCAAGGGAAACTAAATAAAAAATAAATGAGACTACATCAAATTAAAAAGTTTTTGCACAGCAAAGGAAAACTATCAGCAAAATAAAAAGACAACCCACTGAATGGGAGAACATATTTGCAGATACATCTGATTAGGGCTTAATATTCAACATTTATAAAGAACTTAGAAAACTCAACACCAAAAAGCCAAACAATCCAGTTAAAAAATGGGCAAAGGACCTGAATAGACACTTCTCCAAAGAGGACATACAGATGGCCAATAGACATATGAAAAGATGCTCGACATCACTAATCATCAGAGAAATGCAAATTAAAACCACAATGAGGTATTACCTCACACCTGTCAGAAGGGCTTTCATCAGTAAATCAACAAACAAGTGTTGGTGAGGATGTAGAGAAAAGAGAACCCTCATGTACTGTTTGTGAAAATGCAAATTGGTGCAGCCACTATGGAAAACAGTATGGAGTATCTAAAATAATTAAAAATGAAACTGCCTTATGACCCAGATTTCTCTTCTGAGAATTTATCTGAAAAAACCTGAAACACTAATTCGAAAGAATATAAGCACCCCTATGTTCATTGCAGTGTTATTTACAATAGCCAAGATTTGGAAACAGCCCAAGTGTCCATCAGTAGATGAGTAGATAAAAGAGCGATGGTACATTTACACAATAAAATACCACTCAGCCATAAAAAGAAAGTAAAGAAGAAAAAGTTTACCCTTTGCAACAGAATGGATAGACCTGGAGAACATTACGCTGAGTGAAAGAAGCCAGTCAGGAAAGACAAGTACCATATGATTTCACTCATATGTGGAATTTAATGAACAAAATGAACTAACAAGCATAATAGAGACAGACTCATAGAAAAAAAAAGTTCTAATGTCAGCAGTGTGAATGACAAACTTAGTGTTTTTATTGAATATCTAATTTTCATTTCCAAACGTTACATTTTAGCATTTTTGTGCAGGCTTTTTTCACCTTTCATGTTGTGTGTGTGTGTGTGTGCTTATATTATGTTATCTTATACTATATATTTCTGCATATAACATGTATAGCAACTTTGTACTTCTATAATAATGCAATAATTTTAATTACCATAGTTTTATCATATACTTTAATATCTGATAGAACATTTACTCCTCTTCTTTTTCACTGTTACAAATTTCCTGGATATTTCTACATGTTTATTTGTGCAGATGAATTTTAGAATAATTTTGTTTGTCTTCCCCCTCCAAATTTAATTGGGATTTTGATTATACTCATTAAATATATTAAATAATTTTAAGTAACACATTATTTTTATATTTTTACCATTAGGAAAATATCCCTACTGTCTCCATCCTCTGCAATCCAGGAATGAGAGCACGTCACTGGAAGCAGATGTCAGAAATTGTAGGCTATGACTTGACTCCAGACTCTGGAACTACACTGAGAAAAGTTTTAAAATTAAACCTTTCACAATACTTGGAACAATTTGAAGTGATAAGTGCAGGTGCAAGCAAGGTGAACATGAAGATAAACTGAAATACTTTATTTAATGAGTTTATTAATCAAATAATTGTGGTTTTTCTGTGGTTGAATGCATAGCACTGGCTAGCAGTAGGCGGAGATGAGGGAAAGTGATAGAGGACCACTCCCCCCCTGCCCCCCCCCCCACACTTCCTACTTCCTTCTACTGAATACAAACTAGAAAAGGCTCATTTGACCTCTTCTTAATTCTGCCACATTCTGATATGCATGGATGATATGCTAGTCTTGATATATAATCTTTCCATTAATAATATTGGGTATGTATGTGGCATGTGATGTGTTGTATGTATTCTAGCAGAATAACTATAGTCCTCTAGGGTTCTTGAAATACTCAGAAAGCATCTTCAGATTATAGACTGGAGAAAGGCTACTTTAGGGAAAGTCCAGGAGGTATTCTATTCTATTGTCTATTTCAGTACTGACAACAAGTTTTCATAGCAAATGCATTTTTAAAACTATATCATCATTCTTTTTAGGAATTTTTAAATTGTTTAAAAAACTTTTCTAATTTAATTACAGTGTAGCCACAGATTATTTTAAGGCATATACTTACTGAATTTACTAGGGAAAGTCAATACAGTAAATAAGATTCTTCTTTCACAATCCCATTCTTTCTTCTTTCCTCCATTTTAGGAATTTTCATTAGAGAAGGCTATGCATACAATGATGGGAGTTTGGGATGATATTGCTTTTCATGTAAGTCTATATCGTGAAACTGGAGTCTGTATTCTTTCTTCAGTAGATGAGATTCAGGCTCTCCTTGATGATCAAATTATAAAAACTCAGACAATGAGAGGATCACCTTTCATTAAACCATTTGAAAAAGAGATCAAGGTATGTTAAACAGGATATCTCCTGGTCATTTGTAAAAATTGCAATCTTATTACATATACTAGAGGCCTGGTGCATGAAATTTGTGCATGAGGGGGGTCCGGGAGGTCCCTCAGCCTGGCCTGCACCCTCTTCAATCCAGGACCCCTTGGGGGATGTCTGACTGCTGGACATCCCTCTCACAATCTGGGACTGCTGGCTCCTAACCACTCACCTGCCTGCCTGCCTGATCACCCCTAACCATTGCGCCTGCCTGCCTGATCACCCCTAACTGCTCTCCCCTGCCAGCCTGATTGGCCCTAACTGCCTCTGCCTCGGCCCCTGCCACCGTGGCTTTGTCTGGAAGAAGTCTGGTCTAATTAGCACATTACCCTATTATTAGTATGGATACTCTTGTGGAAATAAGTCAGTTTGTTGGATAGCTTTGGAGAAATGCAGGAGCAGATATTTAAAAACTCATGTGGAACTATATAGAAAAGATCTGAGACATTAAGTCTAATGATTTTGAAAAGCACACATTATGTTTTGTTAAAAAAATCAAATCCTGCTCAGCTGGTGTGGCTCAGTAGTGGAACACTGACCTATGAACTAGGAGGTCGAAGTTCAATTCCCAGTCAAGACACATGCCCAGGTTGTGGGTTTGATCCCACGTGTGGGGTGTGCAGGCAGCAGCCAATCAATGATCATCATTGATGTTTCTATCTCTCTCTCTCCCTTCCTCTCTGAAATCAATAAAAAAATATTCTCCAATGACAACAATAGACTTGGAAGGAAAACAGTTGGTATTATTAATTCTAACTTTAAACAGCCTAGTCCCTGTTCCATGCTATGTTCTTTTAACTTGTAGTGAAGTTCTGTATACCATGCTTTAATTCTATTTTTGAACAACTAGCTTGAGGGTCTGTTAGAATAATTTATGAATTATTTTTCACTTGAGAAAAAATAGTTGTATTTGAGACTATAAGATTATTTAATACTAGAGGCCTGGTGCACGAAATTCATGCACTGGGGTGGGGGTGGGGTCCCTCAGCCCGGCCTGCATCCTCTTGCAGTCTGGGAACCCTCAGGGGTTGTCTGACTGATGGGCCTAAGCCGTCAGTTGGACATCCTTAGCGCTGCCGCAGAGGTGGGAGAGGCTCCTGCCACCGCTGCTGCGCTTGCCACTGTGAACTCGGCTTCTGGCTGAGTGGCGCTCCGGCGCAATGACCACCAGGGGGAAGCTCCTGTGTTGAGCGCCTGGTGGTCAGTGCATGTCATAGTGACCGGTCGTTCCACTGTTTGGTCGATTTGCGTATTATCCTTTTATTATATAGGATCCTTATAGTTGATGTGGGTAAATACAGAAAGTTAACAAATTATAATAACTAACACCTTTATAGGTAGTATCAAAATTCTTACTAGGATTACATATAACAGGAAAAATACAAACAACAAATGGATTTTTCCCCTTGTATTTATTGATTTTTAACTATACTGCTCTAGGCACTTCACATTTATCAGCCCATTTAATTTCCATAGCAGACTTTTAACATAGGCACTTTTATTATCTGTATTCATAAATAAGGAAATCAAAGCATAGGAGGTTTGCCCAGCTAATAAATGACAGAGCTGGAATTCAAACCAAGGCCTGGCCAGCATGGCTCAGTGGTTGAGCATCAACCTGTGGGCCGGGAGGTTAGGGTTCTATTCCTGGTCAGGCCATATGCCCGGGTTATGGGCTCATATGCAGGAGGTGGCTGATCAATGATTCTCTTTCATCATGTTTCTGTCTTTCTCTCCCTCTCCCTTCCTCTCTGAAATCAATAAAAATATATTTTAAAGAAACCAAGGTAGATTGGTTTTAATTTAAGTATAGATGGTGTTTTTTTATGAAAGACCTTGGCTCTTGATATTCAGAGTAGACAGAGTTGTGTTCTTCCAAAAGAACATAATGCTGTACATTTTCTCATGAATCAGGCTGACCTAGACTTTCCTGATATGTCTGCAGAAATTTCTTGTCTAACAAGGTAGAATTTACAAGATAAATTTAAAAGCTCTTTTAGAAGTTTAAAAACAATAAAATATGAGGTCTAATCTCTTGACATATTCGACCTTAGGCCAAATATTTAAGAACCAAAGAGAGATTATTTGAATGACTTCAACTAATGAAATATCTTACTGAGTCTTAGAGCTGTGAGAGTGTAAGGAAACTCTCCCCCCCCCCCCCCCCCCCGCCCCAAATTGTGTTGCTGTGGATCAGGGTTTTTCAACCTGGCACTAAAGACATTTTGGGTTAAATAATTCTTTGTTGTGAGGGTTGTCCTGTAAATTGTAGGAAATTTAGCAGCATCCCTGGCTTCTACTAACTAGATATTAGTAGCACCCTCATCCCGTCGGTTGTGACAAATGAGAATGTCTCCAGACATTGTCAAATGTTCCTTGGGATGGGGGACAAAATAGCCCCTAGGCTGCTAACCATTGGTGTAGATCAGGGTATATTCCTGGATGCCTTTTGGATGTGGGGTGGTTTACCTAGTGATTAGGAAATTGGTCTAAATAACTACAGTCATTTCCAATTGTGAGTTCCAATGATTTAGGAAAACTTCAGACCTCCTAGTGTTTTTCTAAACCCCTGTGAGACACCCATAAGTGATCTTGGACTGTTGTGCATTGATTTAAAAATAACAGTAAAATTTAAATACACATTTATTGCTATAACTTATTATTTTTCTTTAATAACTGGAATTTAGTATACTATGTTTTTCATTAAGGCCTGGGAGGACCGTTTGATTCGAATACAAGAAACGATTGATGAGTGGTTAAAAGTACAAGCTCAATGGCTATACTTGGAGCCCATTTTTTGCTCTGAGGATATCATGCAACAGATGCCAGAAGAAGGACGTCAATTTCAGACAGTAGACAGACATTGGAGAGATGTTATGAAGTTTTGTGCAAAAGATCCAAAGGTGTAGTATTTGTTTTTTCTCTTGCAAATAAAGGGGAACCTTTATTTTGGGCTATTAAAAGAAGCGTTTGGCTTTTTCTGATTAAAAAAATCAAACATGCTCGTATAAAAACTGTAAAGTTCAGAAAAAATGTAAGAAAGCATTAAAGCAATTTTACTTGTCAATTCATAAGATATACTACTTGTAATTCTTTTACATCAGATTTATTGGGGTGACATTGTTTAATAAGATTATATAGGTTTCAAGTGTATATTTCTATGATACAGGATCTGTATGTTGCACTGTGTGCGACCATCCAATGTCAAATCATCTTCCAGATGTCACCATATGTTTGACCCCCTTTACCCTTTACTACCCCCAAACCCTTTCCTTCTGGTAACCACAGTACTGTTGTGTGTGTCTATGAGTTTTTATTTTTCTTGTTTATTCATTGTTGCTTACAGTTTTATATCCCACATATGAGTGAAATCATAAGGTTCTTACCTTTTTCTGACTAACTTATTTCACTTTAGCATGATATTCTCAAGTTCCATCCATGTTGTTGCAAATGGCAGTATTCATCTTTTCTTATGGCTAAGTAGTATTCCATTGTATATATGTACCATATCCTCTATCGAAGGACACTTTGGTTGTTTTCATGTCTTGGCCACCGTGAATAATGCTGCAATGATTATAGGGGTGCATATACCTTTGCAAAGAAATGTTTTCAGCATTTTCGTGTAGATACCCAGAAGTGCTAGTTTACATTCTCACCAGCAATGGGAATCTTTCTTCACAGCCTCTCCAACACTTTTTATTACTTGCCTTGTTGATAGTAGCCATTCTAACAGGTGTGAGATGGTAGGACATTGTAGCTTTCATTGCCATTTCTCTAATTGATAATGAGGTTGAGCATCTTTTCATATATCTGTTTGCCATTTGTATGTCTTCTTGGGAGAAGTGTTCGGTCCTCTGCCCATTTTAAAATTGGATTATTTGTTTGGCATTGAGTTGTATGTGTTCTTTATATATTTTGGATATTAACTACTTACTGGATGGTAGAGCTGCTTCACATGTACATGTAACTCACTTCACATGTACATTTAACTCACTGCTCCCATCCTCTTATAAAATAAATAGTAAAATAAAATGGAGAAGGGGGGAGAGAGAGAGAGAGAGAATAGTGCAGGTGATTCCACTCAATGTCTATATGCTTGGGAGTGAAGGGAAAAAATAATCTGAGGTTTTCTTAGTTGGTTGCATTTGTTCTCTCTCCCCTAGTGTGAGAATAGTACCTTGCTTAGTGTGAGTCTAATGGTGAAAGACATACTATGCATTTTTCATATACATATTATGCAAAGTTCATAGATAAAAGTCCACTTTTAAAAATCTAGTATTCAACTTAAGAATTTGTTTCAATACCGGATGAAAAAGTAGCTGTGCTGGACTTACTGAGAGTAAACAGTATACTGATATTTATGAGTCACAAGGATTTTGCCTTATATGTTGACTTTAGATCCTTTGTGAGACATGATTTACAGATCAGAAGTCAGATTTTTTTTTTCTGCAAAAGGCCAAATGGTAAATATTTTGGGCTTTGTGAAACATAGTTTTTCTTTTCTTTTTTTCCCCCCAACTAGTCAACTCTGCTGTCATTGTAGTGAGAAAGCAGCTGGACAATTCGTAACTGAATGGATGTGCCTATGCTAAGTAAATTGTTTATAGACCCTGAGATTGTTGTGTGCCATGAAATATTATTTTAATTTTTTAACCCCTTAAAGCTGTAAAAACATCCCAGCTCGGTGTTGCTCAGTGGTTAGAGTGTTGGCCCATGCATTGAAGGATCGCAGGTTTGATTTCTGGTCAAGGACATGAATCTGGATTGCAGATTGGATTCCGCCCAGTCCAGATGAATGCAGGAGGCAACCAATCGATGTGTCTTTCTCACATTGATGTTTCCCTCTCTCTCTGTGTCTCTTTCCCCTTCCGTTCCTTCCACTCTCTCTCTCTAAAAAAAAGAAAATTTAATGGAAAAAATATCCTCAGGTGAGGATTAACAAAACAAAGAAACAAAAAGGTGTAAAAAATAATCCTTCACTTATGGGCCATAAAAAAACTGGCAGCACAATGTATACATACATAAAAAAATCAAGTTGTGCTCCTTAAATATGTACAATTTTTATTCGTTAATTATACTTTATAAAACTGAAAAAAGAAAAAGTGGTAGCAGGCTGGATTTAGCCCATGGGATGCAGTTTGCCAACTCATACATCTAAATTGTTAAGTTTGTAGTTGACAATTATAAATGTAACTTTTGTTAATCCTCACCTAAGGATATTTTTTCCATTACATATTCTTTTTTTTTTAGAGAGAGAGAGTGCATGACAGTCATAACTTCTCATTTGTAACTAGCATTTTGGATTAGAATAGTTGTAGTTTATTGAATTTTAATTATTTCCCATTACAAAAAAATCTTATGACAATTTTCATATACCTTTTGACATATAACATAGATTAATGTTTACATCTTATAATTATATCTAGTATATAAGTGTTGAACTGAATGATTATGTCTCTTTTAGGTTCTTGCTGCTACTTCTTTAACAGGTTTATTGGAAAAACTACAGAGCTGCAATGAACTTTTGGAGAAAATTATGAAAGGGCTTAATGCATATCTTGAAAAAAAACGACTTTTCTTCCCTCGGTATGATGGATAATCAGTTCTGCTATACTTGAAAGCACTTTCTGATTTGTGATGAATTATAACTAAAGCTTTTGTATTTGCATGTTTTTCTCTAGTTTTTTCTTCTTATCTAACGATGAAATGTTAGAGATTTTGTCAGAGACCAAAGATCCACTTAGAGTTCAGCCTCATTTAAAAAAATGCTTTGAGGGCATTGCTAAATTGGAGTTCCTTCCCAATTTGGACATTAAGGCCATGTATAGTTCTGAAGGTGAGCGCGTGGAGCTGATTGCACTCATTTCCACGTCTGCAGCACGAGGAGCTGTGGAAAAGTGGCTGATTCAAGTGGAAGATTTAATGCTCCGGAGTATTCATGATGTGATTGCTGCAGCCAGGCTGGTGCGTTACCTAGGATTTAATGTATACCTTATATTCTGTAAATGCTTTCTTTTAGGAGGTTTTGAATGGGTTACCAGTAAATTAACATTTAAAGTTCTTACTATTTACAAATATTTATTATTTTATTTACTCTTTTTTGTTTCTAACAATAATTAATATTAGTAAGAATTAATGATAATATGTGATTATGTGCTACAAAAGAGTAATAATAAAATGTATATAATTTAGAATGGGGGGGGTGGTTCTAGTGATAGGCAATTAGAGGAAGTAAAATTAAAACAGAACCAAACCATAAATAGGAATTAACCAGGTAAAGAACAAATAGAATACCATCTTGGTATCCAGTGTAAAGGCCCTGGGATCAGATAAAACCTCAAAATCAGGTGTTAAATGCATGATCTAGTTCACTTACTGTTGTTTACACTTAATTACTTAAAAACTTCAAACTTGAAATGAGTTGAACAAACATTAAAGGAGGATGTATATTTGAAAGAAATATAACACCTAAGCAGTACATGTACCTCACTTATGCTACTCCGGTTAACCAAATTTTGAATGATAAACTTCAGTATATATCTGCTTTGGGGGACCACAAAGGAACAGTTGTGTATTAAAAAAAAATCATTTAAAAAGGCATTGTAGCCTTATATCCAGCAACCCACTTTATGTGAATGACGTATCCTTTTTCCTTCACCAAGAGCTCAGGAAGCTCATAATCTTGCAGTGGATATTATGTTCAGCTTCAGTGTTCCTGTAGATAAATATTGACTTTTACTCCCTTTTTTTCTACTTATGACTCTAAACAAACTAAACACATAGGAAAGAATCGATATTTCCCATCAAGTATTTCCTTAATAAATATAGAAGTGTATTTTCCATGTACCTAGCAATAGCTCATCCATTCTTTGAAACTCATCCTTCTTTGAACTTTGGTTAGCTTGTCATTTGCATTTATTCCTAAATATTGCTAATC